GCGCGAGTTTGAAAATCCATATTGGAGCGGATCCACCTCTGTTGAAGACAATTAAGACAAAGTGTAAGAACACTAATGCTTCGTTATGGTTTTAATTTAAACGCCGCGTTCTTGAGACTCATGTCGTCAGGAATTGACTTACTCTCGTGTGAATCCTTGTTTCTTCAAAAATAATTCAGCTTCTTCAGAGAATATTTCATAACCTAAAGAGAAAGTCGACTCAAACATGAGACGAAAAAGATTCGGAGTAGATTGAAAGCTCATAAAACGGAGTAAATGAAAATGTTTCTTCATTAGAAAGAGAAGATTTCGTCGGTATTTGGCAAAATACAGAATCTTGCTTCTAGGAGACACCTTTAAAGTACAGTTATTTTAACTTTTTAGAAGAACTCCATTGTCCACGAAAGTCGTAAAACAACAAAGAGCTGTGTTATTGCCATGTAAAAGAAACAAACGAAGTGAAAGTGATGAAGCCTGATTTGAAGGTAAGAAAGACCCGTGAGCAGGCTAACAGAGATTTACCAAGACCACAGTATAGAGAACATACAGTAGAGCCACTCCATTGAATCATTTTGTGCCACACATATCTTATTAGGCATGTGACTACCATAGTGGCAGTCAGTAAATTACATTGTGTGACAAATAGGATTGACGATATGGCAAACGGCAGCTAGTAAACTATTTTCTTATATGCAGCCAATTGCAAAGCGAAGTGAAGCTACCGTATATTCCTATACTGTGCCAAGACTTAAGGATTTGTTTCCAAGCAAACAAACAAGGTCGAATTAACGGTACTGTGAATGTTAGTTAAGTTAGTTTAGTTTAAATCCGAAGTATTGTAAATCAGGATCAATGTGAGATGATCCGAAGTGAATCTCAGAGAAAAGCAAATCAAATCTGACCCAAATGAACCTACACAAAATAATTTTCTTCCAATCCTTTATAATTCGCTGCACTTTCTCATCTAATAACGACATCTCATTTAAAGCAGTATAATGATTTCACAGTTTTCTGCTCATTTCAGTGATATTTATGTTAAAAAAATATTTGAGAAAAAGTTTACGAACTAAATTAAATGATTACCGAGTCCAAATTGAACTCCAACATAGATTCATCGACTACCAAAATGGCCATCGCCAGAACAAAGAAAAAAACACCAAATGTCAAGCAGACAGATTTTTCTCCTGAATCATCACCCGACCAATAGGAAGCTGTGAGCAGAAACAAAACACGTCTGTATGTAGAGTAAAGGAAAGCATAACAACCTTACAGGAGGTGTGGTCACTGTCCCATGTGTAGTGTTTATTTACCTCTGGGAAAGGCTGGACTCGAATTTAAAATACATAAATACCTTCATTACGCAAGGGTCACAAAAATACCAGAGAAGCATTTTCAATACACTAAATACATTTAGTAATGAGAAGAGATCGTACTTTGCAGAGAGGGTGGGCCCAACCATTAACAATCTTCGGCTCCGCATACCCTTAGTCCTTGCCCCGTCTATATTTTTCAAAATATAAATTCAGTCGTGAGTGTTTACATAAATGCTTGAAGCACGAGAAAAGACGAAAGTAAGATCGGCGAAAGAAATGCCAAACTTTGCTGGCAATTTTTATGTCGGAAGGTTTGGTTGCAAACTTAACCTAAAATATCGCATTTGTACAGAACCAACCATCCATAAGTCGAGTTAACACCCAAGTTACCAAGTTAGAGCCCGGAAAAATATGCAAAAAAATTCTAATGTCAATTCTCGGTCACAAAAAAATTTGATAACATTTTGATAACAATTTTGATAATTTGCAAACTTAATGAAAACGAAACGAATGTCCGAACTTCCACAATAGCAGTTTGCCTTCATAATTGACGAGCTTTTGATTAGCCTGAGTGCTTAGAACGCGCAATGTCTAACTCAATTTTCAAACAGTTAGAAAGGTTTTTTACAGTACACGATTAACAAAAATATCGCGGATTTTACTGCAATAAAATGCAACGTCAGCATAAATTTGCCGACTTTGAAGACTGAAAGTCAACAATCAGGCCGACCTCGTTTTCAAGGCTGACATTAAGTCAAGCTTAAGATCTCTTTCGTTTCATTAAAAAGGATACATGGCAAAAAATATGCCCAAGAAATTCCATAATGGCGTCACACTGATGTCGTTACGTAAAAGAGCGGGAAATAAACACGAAATCCCCTCGATGATGATATTGAATATCACGGCAGACACAGCAAAATCAACGAGCCACTTGTATTCTGTATAATAACATTGAAATATCAAATCTGTTTCATCAACCTAATGGGAAAGTGTTTTATGTTAGTTTTACAATATAATTTTATAGTGTATTTATTGAGGGGAGTTTCAAACTTTCAATACTTATGGCATATTTACTGGGGGTAGTCATCTTCAAATACATGAAAAGAAAGGGGCGTTACAAAGATTCATTACACATCGACTTACTATGCCAAAAGATTGAAGTTATAATGTAATGGGGTATTTACTGGGGTAGTCATCTTTCAATAACTCGAATGAAAGAGGGATGGTGCAAGAGTTTTATTACATATAGACAATGTTGAAAGTTGTGGAATGTAGCTATTTTTTGACTATTGTCATTGGAGCTTGTGGGAGAAAGGTTAGATAGTGTTTTCCACCATATAAGAAAACCACGTTTGTTTTAAATGTCTCTTTAAAAAGCAGAAAAACTACTATTTAAAGACGACAATCAATACAATAAACCCTTTAACACTTATAACAATGAAAACATAGTTTTATTTTGTGACACAATAACAACCCTATTTTAAAACACTTAAAATAACCATTATGCAGTGAATAGTGCTTTCGAAGCTAAGTACAACCCTCCAGTAAATGAATGAAGATATTCTTGGTTGTCTGCAAGCAACAAGACATGCAAGACGTCTATCGGGCGTTCACTCGTCCTGCTTGAGACCAGAGTTTGGTCATATTTGAGTATTATAATATAGTTGTCAAATTGCACAACAAAATTCACAGCAATGTAATCTCACATATGGCAATGTATTAAGTAGGTAAATCATGTTTCATTATACGTTTTATTACTTACACGTGAAACTACCCAAGACAGATTTCATTAGTACAAGGACTTCATGTTAGCATGTAATCTCATGCTTGACAGCACAACAAAATCCGAATTTTTTTCAAACTCCGGCAAGCAATTTCTGATTGAACAGTATATCAATCACAATTGCATTCATAATTTACGTCAATGAAACAAAACCTCATCCCCTGCCTCAAAATCATATGCTCAATGAACAAGAAAGACTTTACCCCTTGATTCTTACAATAATACAACCCCTCTGTATATACACGCAGTGACTGAATAAACCACTGATACAAGAGACACTGCTTATGACCACATTTTGGGGCTATTGATTCTAACAGTCCTCAAAAAGTTAGTTGACAACTTCTACAATACTTTCTACATACAAAAAAAATATCAAAAATAATATAACTCAGGTACAGGATCAGAAAACGACGGCGCACCCAAAGTCCTGGATCCCAGAAATGCACTTTCAACAACAATGTAGAAATTATGTTGTAAGTTATGCGTTGTAATAGATTTTTTGCAAAGTATGTTTTGTTTATAACTTTTTAAACAGTGCATAGGTACAAGAAAAGTATATTGTATTATAAGTTCAACGCATATTTATATATTCTTGTGTTCCATTCCAAAAAGGTTCACCCATTTTTTTCAAAATATGTCTTTGAACCACTAGAGCTTTGGAAATGCACATTTTCTTGAAGTTGTCAAATCACTATTTGAGATGTGTCGGAATTAATACAACCCCATGATGAGGTCATATGCACTATAAAATGTGACAAATCTGAAATATACTTCAGGTATTGAAAAGCAATCTTACATTCACTGTTCTCAGTTGAATGTTCATGTTGCAAGGTATGGATAACGGCTCAGAAGATATAAATTGAATTGATGCTCCATTATTTTCTTCCTTTTTCCTACAGAACAAAAAGAGAAACATTAACGGTGTTTATGAATAACAAGTGTTTAGTTTATGTTGATTTTAGCCTGGACAAGATGACAAGAGAATAACAGATCAATTGTAAGAGCCTGTTCATATAAGAAAGAAAATTCCAGTTTCCATGAGCTGGCCAGTTTGCCAGAGGCTAATATGCATTTGAAGTTGTATGAGACAGGCTGGTTCTTCTAAAATGTTGTCAATCCCCCTTCTAAAATGTTGTCAATACTTGTCCCATTTTGTGCTAAAGTTGAAATGTGTTTAGACTTTCACATTCCAACATTTTCAAATATTAATTTGTTGCATTTTGTGCTAATATTTGATTGTGTTTAAACTTGAGCATTCCACGATTTTTTTGATTTGAAACCACAATCATGATGCTACTAGCTACAATGCAGCATAATTAGATAAAACTTTTAAACTTATTTTTCAAATGATCATTGTTGCTTTTGAATTAGCCGCCACATTAGAATAAACATGTGAAACAACAGCATGCACAGTCTCCTCACTTCCAGCCCAGTTAAGCCAGGCAAGCCCATTTTATGCTTTCAAATAAGACCTTTAATGAGGAGAAACTGTTTCATTTGGGGGAAATCTTGCCAAGCCAGACTGGACCATTCTTCACATGAAGATAGTTTTTAAAACAAAGTGAAATAATATACAAGGTAAGATATATTGAAAAAGCTATATCATACTGTACATGTCCTTATAAAATGTCAAAAATATATCGCAAAATGTGTACCAAAAGTGTAGCAATTATAACAATGTAAAAAAAAACAATGAAATGCAACGACAAAATGTGAAAACAAATCTTTATAATTAATACCTTGCATCAGAACGCTTAGCTTTATTTGACTTTGTTCTTTGTGTTTTACCAAGGAGTTTTCTTAACTCTGTGTCGGAGGGTGGTACATGACGTACCAATCTAAGGAAAGACATATGTGAAAATTACAACAAAAAATGTCAAAGACAAACACCTAAGACAACATACCCACTGCATAATAACCAAGTGGCCAGCGACATATATGGTGAAAATTTGTGAAGAAACAATGCCACCATCAAGGTTAGGACAACTTGTATACCAAACAGTGCCTAAAAAGAAAAAGGCCAATTCACAGATGAATTTTCTATGATAGATAGTATTCTTTTTTAAGGGAGGGGGGAGATTGAGAAATGGTTAAGTTTATAAAAGCAGTTGACTGAGTGTAAAGTTCCAAACATGACTAAAGTATTCCCATATGCATATTAGGTGGGAGCAGGCACCTAAAACCTTGGGCAGACAAAGCCAGTAGGGCACTGTTGGCAGGAAAGTTTGGTAAATTAAGCCATTTCAAATTGAAAATGTTTAGATTGCTCCCCTTAAAATGTTAGCCCGTACATCCAGGAGTACACCACAAAAACAAACCATCGTAAAGTAAACTTGGTAGTTCAACCAAGTTTGGTCAACACTTTGGTAGTGATTAGAAATATTTGAGGAGATGTGAGAAATTTCTTAGAAGAATAAAAAATGATATTGGGGGTTGCATGAGCCACTTGCCCCACACAAAAAACAATATAAGTATAACATCACAAATACAACCAATCCACACTTATCCATTAAAGTACAATATAATAAAAATTACACATCTCGACCGCCATAGACTGAAATTATCGGTTCGCAAAGTCCGTTTGTAATAATCCATTTTTACGTCGTTCGTACCATGCACAAGGAGTGTCATTCACTGATCTCAAACAATAATGAATTATGGGTGTAAATTACGTATAAACCGGCCTTTAATGAAATAAAGAGCTAAATATTGTTTCAAATAAGTAGGTTTTAACGTCCTTTACCACGTTCTATGCAAACGAAAGGCGTAGAAATTCCTCCAAGTTTGAGTTATTTTGATCTATCGCGAGTGCAAGGGCCAGACTAGAGCGAAGTCAAGGCCGTAATTAAAAATTTTGAAAAAATATTTGCTTACAAATACCTCAACATTAAAATTTTTCAAACACGGACACCGAGTCAATGGTGAATTTAGCTTTTGGTAGGTTGGGTAATATCAAAGTTAATTCGATATTAAATCTGTCCATATTTAGGATAATACACATGCACGAAAATTAAAAATACTCTATAGGTCTTCTTTATTTAAATCCCGAGGATGATTCAATATATGTAATAACGTATACAAAAACTCACCATTGTACAAGTTTATTTAAAGAAAGATTACAGTGATTTCTTCCCCAAAACAAATATTCACAACATTGCCATGCGTTTCTTACATTATTATTTTCCATCGTCCATAATGATACATAAAAAAATGCAATACAACGCGTCTGCTGATTGGTCTACAGCTGAGTTTTTTGGAGATTAATCATTAAACAATTGTAAAGAGAACTTGCAAATTAATCTTCTATACAAGTTATGGAAGAAATTAAAGCATTTGTGTTCAGTTTATGTGTTGTTATTTTAAAAAAGAAACAAAAGATATTGTGGTCACTTCGTAGATGGTCGAATATCAAATCATTTTGGTGATTTAAATACCAATCCACTCCAATACCAACACCAGTGATATCTATGAAACCTTAATGTTTCTCTTCCACATCCTTTGTTTATTAAAATCCAGTCCTTTACACAATTCAAAGTCAAACGATTAAAAAACATCGTATGTATTCGACTGCTGAATGCATGCTTTGAAAATATTTTTGAATGTCCTGAAACCCGGAGAATGCCATTGACTTGTGTATATTTTATTCAAAAGGCTGCATCAATTGGATGGTGTTCATGAAATGTTCTCTGTTTTTATTGGTGGTGGCTTGAGAGCAATATTCAAAAAATCTCAAAGAATAGAAAAGATGCAGTCTCTCATTCTTTTCAACCATTATTTATATCAGTTTATTGTGAAGATCAAGAACAATCACGATCATTTAGAGACTTGGTCAAGTATTGAACTTGGAGAAGGAAAGGTGTTCAATCCAATATTAAAATTGGTCAAAAATTCACTGCCAAATATTGGGATAACGTTTTGATTGAATCTTCCCATGAAATGGACAAATTGAAAGCAATGATATTTCAAATTTTGGAAAATATTAATGTAAATGAGCAATTTGCTCCAACGTTGACATCGCAAGTCAAATTAATTATGGACTTAATAAAAGATGACATTTTGGTTGCTGGAGGTTTTTTCGCCTACTCAAAGTGTGTTGAACTATTTTCATGGAAGAAAGAAATTTGGTTTAAGAATGCAACAATGGAGAATGAGGACACCTTTGCTTGGACATTTTTTTATAATGATAATTTATATGTTGTTGGAGGACTTGATTGCAAGTTAATAGAGACATTGAATCTTAATCAGTTACCTATAACATGGAAGACATTTCCTGAAGGGCTTCCTTATGCATATTATGGTCACCAAACTGTTGTTCATCAAAAAAGTTCTTCATATTGGAGGACGTAATAAAGACAAAAAGACGTCATCTGATCTTATCTGTGAAATGATGATTACTGGTGACAAAGGTTATGTTTTTAAAGAGTTGTGTCGAGTGCCTGAACCACGAGACAACCATGGAGCTGAGGTTGTTAATGATAAACTTCTCATTTTAGGCGGAATCTGGTATGGAGAAGATGGCAAAGTTCTGTCAAGTGTTTTAAAGTTTGATCCAAGGACTCTTATAATAACGGAAATATCTCCATTACCTTATCCATTATATGCAATGGCACCAGTTCAATGGAGAAATCAAGTTATTCTTCTAGGAGGTCGTAATGATAAAGAAGAAATATTGAACAGTGTTATAATGTATGAGAGCAAGACAGTTAAGATAACAGTCTTATCATGTATGAAAATAAGAAGGGTGAGATTACAGTCTTACCATTCATGTTGGAAAAGAGACTAAGATTTTCTGCAGTTATAATAGAAGATACAATTGTTGTCATGGGAGGAAAGATTGATGATGAAGATGAAGATTATCTTCAATCAGTTCAGTGTTTTAAAATGGGAAGCAGTTCTTCATGGACACATCTTCCTTTAATGACTAAACCACGATATGGAGCCATTGCTGAAGTTTTACCCTTCTGAGCAAAATATGTTTAAGCTGAAATAAAAAATAAAACATAAAAAGTGTAACTTTTGTTCATCTAAGCAAGATATCATTAGAGCAATGACAACAATTGAAGAGTTATAAATAAAAGTTAAAATTAAATTCGTTTTACATCAAGACAGAGGCATAAGTTTGTGCCGTGATATCTGTGGTCCTTCGAGCATCGGGTTGCTCTCTCAAAACAAAAATCTGCCAACATAAAAATTTTCTTAAAAATCTTCAATAGAACACAATATCAACTCTGGTTTTCAATTAAACTTTCAATTTACTACTAGACTTTCGGGCTTGCACTGATCTGCTCTCGTGTTCTCCCAAAGGTCTCTTCGTTGTGCATAAGCCTGTGCAAACACAGTAAACATTTTTTATTTCTTAAATGAAAACGTCATGTTAGTTGCAGTGTCGCCTACTGTAATTTTGTCTCAATCAAAAGCATTTAGTAAGCTCCCAAAAATAAACCGGGATTTTTCAAAAAATCACAATTTTCCCACTTTTGTTTCTAGGCTCCAGTAGAATATGACAGCGCTCTCCTTTCTAAGAGAAGGAACTTCTTATAATTTTCACGAATTCATCTATTCTTGTTTTAAATGATGCATGTTTTACGTATTTGGAGAAGAAAATTGTGCGAAACAAGACGTTGCATTTGTAGAGGTTAATATTTCTCATATTCAAAGGGAAACAAGTGATTTTTTATGAAGGAACTTTCACAAGCGAAAATTCAATCATTTTTCAAACATAACACATTTTAGCTCAATTTTTCCTGATTTTTTGTCGCATTTTTATTTATTAACTTCTCGTCTGTTTTTTTAAAGAGACGAATTACTAAAGCAATAAAAAACAATGTAATTTTGTTTTTTTGGGATTATGGTATAATATAAACGTTTAAATATAAAACAATTATCGAATCAAGTCAGTTATCATATTAAAATTATTTCTCACTAACAATGTATTTTTTGCAAGTTTTCAGATCAAGTCAGTTATCATCTATAAAATTATTTCTTTCCAATCTTACCATTGCCTTTCGAGTTCGTCAACATAACTAGTTATAATTTTACCCATCTTTCTCCAATGATCTCAAAAAAAAATATCCAAAAATTAGTTTCAAATTAAGTATCTTAAAAGGATCCCGTCTACTTAAATAAATTCCGAGATATCGGCATAAAATCTAAAGTTGGCAACACAGTTGCTAACAAAGGTTAAAAGTCACATGTACGGAGATCCGTATCTATTTTTGTTTGGGTGACATGACGTATTGAATAATTTAAGCGGTAAACAAATAATTTTGCCAACTTTTGGATTAGGTGTCCCAAACACAGAATTCTATGGGAAAGCCTTTAAAATGGCTTGCCATCCTAATGATAACAAAAGTGGATATGAGGAATCGAGATTTAAGACTGCTATTGATGAAAATTTTCGTTGTTCCATTTGTCTGAACGTTGTTAAAGATGCAAGAATGTGTCAGCATAACGAACACATTTTTTGTCGTTATTGCATCGAAGAACATCTACGAGTTAATGCGCAAAGATGTCCTCAATGTCAAGATAATTTGACTGTACCTACACTTCATCCAGCGCGGTTTGTTAATAACATGATTTCTAAGTTTAAGATCAATTGCAACTTCGCTAGTCGTGGTTGTCCTGAATTTATAAAAGTTGAAGACTTAGAAAGACATGTTGAAAATTGTGGCTTTGCTCCAGTGTTGTGTTCTAATGAACGTTGTGGCTTGGAGATAAACAAACGAGACAAGATCAAGCACGAAACTAAGTTATGTGAATACAGAAAGATTCCTTCTCACGACTTTGAAGAGATTAGAGAAATGTTTCAACGAAATTTTGATCATGTTGACAAAATAAAAGTGCACATGGATGGTGAAGTAGGTCGACAATATGCAGAAATACGTAAAGAAATGATGGAATCAAAGAGAGAAATAAAGGAAGAAATAAAAGATGTTCAACAAAATCTTTCAACAGTGACCAAAGAAATAATGGAATCAAGGAAAGAAATAAAAGATGTTCAACAAAATCTTTCTACAGTGACCAAAGATATAATGGAATCAAGGAAAGAAATAAAAGATGTTCAACAAAATCTTTCTACAGTGACCAAGGAAATGATGGAATCAAGGAAAGAAATAAAAAATGTTCAACAAAATCTTTCAACAGTGACCAAAGAAATGATGGAATCAAGGAAAGAAATAAAAGATGTTCAACAAAATCTTTCTACAGTGACCAAAGATATAATGGAATCAAGGAAAGAAATAAAAGATGTTCAACAAAATCTTTCTACAGTGACCAAGGAAATGATGGAATCAAGGAAAGAAGTAAGAGATGTTCAACAAAATCTTTCTTCGCTGACTAAAGAAATGAAAGACATGAAAGTAATGATGTTTCAAATGTTGGAAAAGATAAATAAAAATGAACAACATGTTCAAACATCAACATCACCAGTTGAAATGTTGATGAACTCAGTAAAAGGTGATATTTTGGTTGCTGGAAGTTATTCACATGGTTCCTTAAAAAGTGTTGAAATATTTTCATGGAAGGAGGAGAAATGGTTTGAAATTGCATCAATGAAAAGTATACACAGCTATGCTTCATCATTTATTCATAATGATGATTTATTTGTTGTTGGAGGATATGACAGCAAGTCAATGGAGACATTAAATATAAAACAGTTTCCTTTGACATGGAGAAAATTTCTTGCGGAGCTTCTTTATCAATGTTGGCAACATCAAACTGTTGTTCATAAACAACAAATCCTTTTCATTGGAGGATTTATTTATGGCAAAGGAGCATCAGATTTGATCAGTGAAGTAGAGATAACTGGTACAACATCTCATGTTTTAAAAGAGTTGTGTCATATGCCTGAACCACGTTGGTGCCATGGAGCTGTTGTTGTTGATGATAAAGTTCTTATTTTTGGAGGAGTGGGAAAAGGTAACAAATATTTGTCCAGTGTTTTGGAATTTGATCCAAGGACTCTTACATTTAAGGAAATGCCTTCATTACCTCATCCATTGGGTGGAATAGCAACAGTTCAATGGAGAGATCAAGTTGTTCTTCTTGGAGGTTGTAATGGAAAAGAAGCATTGAACAGTGTTATCATGTATGACAGCAAAACAGGTAAGATTACAGTCTTACCATTCATGTTGGAAAAGAGACGTGAGTTTTGTGCAGTTATAACAGATGATACAATTGCTGTCATGGGAGGTCTGAATGATAAAGGTGAAAATCTTAAATCAGTGGAGTGTTTCGATATGGGAAGTAGTTCTTCATGGACATATCTTCCTTCAATAAATAAACCAGGACATGGAGCTAGTGCTGAAGTTTTACCTTTTGGGCAAAATTATGTCTAAATTGGAATGAAACAATGACATATATTTTATGTTTAACTATTGTTGATATGTAGAAGTTGTAATGTAAGAATTCATGTTTAATATCATTTTTGTTTAAATGCTCAGCTCTTGAATTAATAACCTACTGGATTCAGAGGAAACTGTGTTTAAAATATGTTTTAAAAATCTTAAGTGTAATATTACTTTTGGTCAATGATTTTTTCTGGCATAAAGAAACAAATATGCTGACAAATAAGTTTCAGCTTAGATATTTTACATTTTATTCAAAATATACTTATGGCTAAATATTTTCATTGAATTTTGATTTACACATTATGCATGACCAGTATATCAAGGTACAGACTAACAATCAAAGTACTAACAACAGTGACTATCATCATTGCTAATCCATGATTTTCAAAGATATCCTTGGAAAGATTGCTTCATATAATGCTTCATATAATGCTTCATATAATTAAAATAAATGAAATTTTACATTATTGTGCACCCCCACCTCTCTTGTCCCATATCTCTGTCCTGAATCATAAAATGAAAATGGAAATATCCAATTTGAGTCATTGTGTGCCTCGTGTACCTATTTTAAAGCCATTTTGAAATAAACTTGCTTTACAATGTACATCATTCGTATCAAAGTTTTTAAGCCAATTCATGTTACTAACAAACTACAAATTTCTTTTTAACTTTTTGCCATTCCACTTATCAAAAAAAATTATTTCTTTATCACAATAACTTTTTATAATACAATATATCACAATGGCTGTACATTTATACATTTCGAAAAACTATCAGCGAAATAGGGAAAGTACAATGTTTCCCAAAATTTCTTGGCATTCCAATCTCCATTTGAATTCATAAGTTTCCAAACACCTCGGTTGTTTGTTCTAGTTGCTTGTCATATGATACAAAACTCACAGAAATCTAAATGAATAATTCAATGAAGACAGTACATCAAAAATGTTCTCCTGCCAACCCACAAATCTTCAAGCCAACCCACAAATCTTCAAGCCAACCCACAAATCTTTAGGCCAACCCACTAATCTTTAGGTCAACCCACAAATCTTCAGGTCAACCCACAAATCTTCAGGTCATCCTACAACCATGACCATTCAATCCAGGCTCCCTACAGTTTAAGCATTTAAGAACTTATTTAAGAACTCATTCATCACCTTTTCAAGTCCTTTTGACTTTTCTTTCCTTTCATTTTCTTCTCTCTGATCTTCTTTCTCCCAAACCAGTTTGGTTTGCAGATCAGTAAACTGAATATTTGCATTTTCAATATCATCTTGCAACTTTTCCTTGGTCTAAAACGACAAATTTTTATTTCAGATGCAAAAATAATGTAAAAATAAGAACAATCTCTGAACACGTGGAACCAAAGGAGGGACTAAACTGACCAATTTTTTAACAGATTTAAAATTGTAGCGAGAGACTTGCCGAGCGGAAATCGAATACGTGTGATAAAAATCAATGCCCAACATAAAGTTCTGATTAGAGCCATAGAAATAGACCAAAAAAAAAACAAATTGTGAAATTTAAATTTATTGTGACGTTTCGTCTTTACTCAAGACATCTTCAGACAAATAATAAATAGGACGTTAAGACAAGGTATTATATTTACAAAAAGGTGTTAAATTACTACTAAAGGAAGCGGTGTCGAATGGATACATGATAAGGAAGTTTGGAAGTGAAATGAAGAGAAATTAAAAGAGGTTAAGTGGAATGGAGTTTCCTTGCACATTAAGTAAAGGCTTGTGTTTATTGATTAGAAGGCTTTCATGGATGGAGAGTTCATAAGTATCGTTGGAAGAGGAGATTATTTTAAAGTCGTCTAAGTTGGGGGCGTGTCCAGTTGCGTTAATGTGAGCAAGGATGCTTGATGATGCAGGGTGGGAAACTTGGTTGCCTGTAAGGGGGGATATTCCCAAGTGCTCCAAAAATCTGGTGTGTAGATGACGTGTGGTTTGACCCACATACGAAGCGTTGCAGCTTCGACACTTGAATAAATACACTACACCAGATCTCAGAGGCTTGGGAATTTTGTCCTTAAAGGGGAAGAAAGAAGAGATACGTTGAGAAGGGCGGAAAACAAATTTAATGGATATATGTGGCAAGGCTGCAACACAAAGGTTATTGATTTGTGTGCGAATTTGAAGGGAGTGTATGCCGGTGAAAGGAAGACAGAAATAGATGGGCATTTTGTGAGCAGTCAAGACAGGTGGTTTAGGGGCAAAGGTGTTGTTAAGGAAGCGACGTGTGATTTGGTCAATTATACGTGAAGGAAAACCGTTTTTGGTGAGTGACTTTCTGGTAAATTCGAGTTGTGTATGAAAATTTTCATAAATAGAACAAAGGTTGAAGATGCTGTGAAGTAAGCAAGAACTAAGTGAAGTTTGTAAAGTAAGTGGGATGAAGCTGTGGAAGTTGGTGAAGGCCAGTGAAAGTAGGTTTGCGGTAGACGGAAGTGGTGAATTTTCCATTAGTACGAGAGATATCAATGTCAAGAAATGAGAGCTTTCTGTTTTGTTCGACTTCAGATGTGAATGTGATGTTAGGGTTTTTTCGGTTCAGGTAGTCAAGAAAGAGACCTCTCTGGTTTAATAAATGTCCTTCTTTATTCAAACCACTGCTTTACCGACACTTCATTTGACGACTGTTTTACTTTTTTCTTTCCTCCAATGCGTCCACTTCTTTTCTTGACTATCGGAAACGACAACACCTAATTCGCATTCACGGCTGAGAGTCGAACAAGGCAAATACGTGATCCCTCCATTCTAATAAGAAAATTCACTAATCTATAAAACTCTTAAGATGGACCTCTCAACTTTATCCACTACCTGGCTTTAAACCAAATCCCTGCTTACCTACATCTTCAATCTTAACTACTCAAGAAAATTTTATTTAACTCAATTCAAAATCACTCACTGTTTTTCATGTATTGTCCACTACTCTTTCTTTTACCTCAACCACAATACTGACTTCCCTTCCTGGTCACCATCCTTTTGTCTTTCACCATCCCCTTCAAATTGCTCAAATCCTTTGTTTGTGTTACAGCAGTATACGCCATCCATTGGTATTTTCTTCTCAGCAATCTTCTTTGCCATTCTGACTCTGGTCTGGTGTATTATTATCATTTCTGCTTTCGCATGGTGGCTCACTTCTGCACCAATTTTCGGGCACTTGAGAATATCTCCCGCTGAACAACAGACTTCCATCAACACTTTCACGGCTGAACACGCTAACTTGTTTAAAGCAATATATAACTCAGTACCTCAGGCTCTTCCCGTCCGCCAGCTTTCCTTCTATTCAATAAATCACCTTGTGGCTTGCCATTCCGCCTTTATGCATTTTATATTTCATTTCCGCTTCCAATTTCCTTATTTGTATCCATCCATTTAACAGATTTCTTCAAATATAATTGACCTTTGATAATAACGTTTATTTATTGACTGATGCTGAGAATAATCAGCAATCTAATTAAATTGAGTATTTTGAATCCCTATGCTAATTTTCTCCTTGGCTTTTACCACAGATCTTGAAACAGTCTTTGAGGGAAGTTCTTTCTTCGCAGAGCTATTAACTTTCTGGCCATTTTTACCCATATTTTACATGAGGAATCGTCTGGAATGCAAGAGGTATTCGCAATATTAACTGTATCTGTCCAATCTATTCTTGTCAAGTCAGCATATTTAAGCAAACATGTTTCCATTTGTTGTTTGAAATTTTGAAGTGAATACTTTGAAAACACATCCGGAAATTTTCTATTGTACCTAATTTGTTCAAAAGAGTCTGACTTCATTGGACTTAGTAGAAACGGAAGCACCTCGTGATATGAGTATGACGTGTCATGAATAAAGTTCATACGGTAAATAATGGTTACTACAAATGACCAAATACAAATAATAATGCTACAAGTCACAATATATGTTTCAACGTATTAGATTATGCTTCAATATGACCTTATTTCAATTATTTGAACCATTTGGAACACCGGTCTCATGAAATTTAGTTGTTCAAAATAATTTCACTGGTCTCATGAAATTTAGTTATTCCAAATAATTTCTCTAATGTATTCGTGATAAGCATGTATGCAAGTGAGCATGCGCAATAGCTTCCTTAATTATTCTAAATCTTCCGTCTTACTCAAGATCATCCGAATGCTTGGTTTGAATTGAAAGTTACGTGAAATATCGCGAGGAATTTTTCTTCCCGAGCCGTCTTGTACTGTGGCCGGTACGGGTCATCAGAAAAATAATTTAAGAAACATAACAAAGAATAAGAAAACATCACTCAAAATCATACTACACATTTCAAAATACTCACTACACATTTCAAAATAGTCGCTACACATTTCAAAATTCTCGCTACACATTTCAAAATACTCGCTACACATTCCAAAATACTCGCTACACATTTCAAAATAGTCGCTACACATTTCAAAATTCTCGCTACACATTTCGAAATACTCGCTACACATTTCAAAATACCCGCTACACATTTCAAAATACTCGCTACACATTTCAAAATTCTCACTACACATTTCAAAATACTCGCTACACATTTCAAAATTCTCGCTACACATTCGCCCCAGTCTTACCCGCGTTTGCGCGGTCACCTATAATTTTAACCCACACAAGACAAAGCATGTTTTGTCCGTTTTGTGGAAAGGAATTGCTCGAATCTTATGCTTTTTGCGCAAATTGTGGCAAAAAAGTCGAACTATCTGGACTGCAAGGTTTATCAGAGAAAGGGCTTCATGAAAAGGAACGTATTCCGGTTACTTTCAATTATTTTAAGAAAAGAAAAGAAGATGAAAGAGCGAGGCACTTCAGACCATCGACTAGTGGCAGTGGCTATAAAGGGAAAGCAAAAAGGGCAAAAAGCGCTGATGAAGATCTTAATGAAACTGTTCGGAAAAATGTCGGAATTATGCTTTATGATGGTGAAAAATTAAAGATTCAGCGTGGGAAATCTTTAGTTCTATCCATACAAAAATCTGCTAATGCTGAAAGGTTATTACAGGCAGCTCTAAACAAACATATGGCACATTCAAAAAATATAATTAAGCCTATGACGAAGTATGTGATGCTATACTCAGATGCATCAAAAGTAGCAAAGCTAAAAGAGAGTGAGGAAGATTTTGTTTTGCATAAATACAAGGAAGAATGTAATAATCCATATTACAGAATTAATTTCTTCCTTTGCCCTGACATTGACTATTCTCTATCAAAATTAAAAGGAATTAAAAGGATGCTTGAAGGATGATAACAGGAGCAGTGATGATACAGATGATGTTGAAGTAAGTAAAGAACAGTCTTACAAGTTAAACAACAAGCATAGTGATCATGAAAATAAGTCAGTACCCATCCTAGTGAATGATGAACAGTGTTTGAATGATAATGTGAATAGCAGTAACAATATTGAGGATGTTGAACAACCTTCAACACTAACCAAAAGCCATAGTGATGGTGAAAATGTGCCAATAACATACAGTCATGATATGCTTGCAATGAAGTCACTGCCTATACCAATAAATGATAATCAGCACAGGGGTGAAAAACTAAACAGTTTGACTTATGGTACTTTAAGTGAAATGTTTCCACAAATAAATGATCAAATTATACAAGAGGCTTTGCATAACAGTGAAAATGATTTTGAAATGGCTGTAGCTTATATTCTTGAACTACAAAATCAGGAAACAACAGCACATCAAGTGTATGCTTCATTTGGATTCTGTAATAACATTGATGATGATACAGATTTTCAAGATAATGAAGCATCTCTATCTGATAACACGCAGGTTACAAAACCTGAGGAAAGGCAAGAAAGCATAACTACCGAGGAGTCTCTTTCTAGCATTGTCAAGAAATTTTCAAAAGATAAGATAAAAATTGATTCAACTCTTAGGATCAAGGTATGTTTTTCACCATGTGCCCAATTCATTCAACTTATTAAAATATTGTATGCACATTTATTGAACCTTATTTGATAATTTTTATCACCAGATGTTGGGCTTTAATGTGTTAAAACAAGGCATAAATTTTATTTGACCAGAATGGTCTAAGATATGAATATTACCACATGTTTGGATCAGACCATTTAAACACAGAAACCTTAAATAATTGTTCGATGTTAAACTTTAAGTTGTTTTTAAGTTTTATCTTGTAATTAGAGACTGTACATGTATAATAATGCCGGTGCTGCTTAATAAAGCTCTGAATATATATTTGTCAATTGCTTGGCTTTTATGGAATTTTCAATGAAGGTCTACTGGCATTGATTTTGTGCAGTAGTAGTATGCATTGTCCAGTTGCTTGTTTTTTTAGTATTTTAATGCTATATGCTGGTTGTTTGCCTTTGTACGAAGAATTTCACTTCTATTTATATATATTTCATGAAATAAGTAAAATTTTGGTAAAATGGGCTTCATGGCCTTA